AAAACCAAAAAAATAACAAAAAAAAAAAACAAGCCAAACAAACAAAAAAACTATTACAGCCATACTTGCTGAAGTATATAATGAAGAAAAAGATACTTAATCACAGATTTTTTTTTAGTTTCAAAATAACATGTCTTTAAAAAATAACAGAGATTGGACTTGCAGGAAGCATGGTGGTTATTAAGGTGCTGGATTGCTATATAGCTCACTGCGGACCCAAAAGCAAGAAAATCACGCTGGGCATGGGTGTGTACGTGCCCAAAACCCTAAAAGGAGAATGAGGAAGGGACTGTGGTATGGCCATCCCCCCAGGGAAATGATGTCTCACCTTCCCTCTCTCTTTCTCTCTCTGGCAAGCACATGTGCCCTTTAACAAAAACCTAAACAAGAACAAATCAAAACAAAAATATAATAGAAATGAGGGAGATATGGTCAGTAACAACCTGTGCCCTAACATTTGACTTAGGCAGTGATAACTTATAATAAATTTGTGTGGGACCAGCAGGTGGTGTGGTGGTTAAGTCGCTGGACACTCCCACATGGCCGACCACAGTTCAAGTCTCGGACCTGGTGGCTTCCTTTCTCACTTTCCCGCTCTCTCTGTGTCTTTCTCTGGTCAAATTAAAATAAATGAAAGAAATAAATAAAATAAAAATAAATAATTCTTTAAAAAAATATTTGTGTAACAATTACAAAATACTCATGATATAGTTAATAAACATCAGCCTAATAAAAAACTTGAGAATATTTTTCAAATGCCAGTTAGCCAAAATAATCCCCTACTCTCCCACATGTCACTTTCCCAAGCTTCTTTATCTGCAGAGAAACATCTGCCTGTGACAATCAGTCAATATGCAGCAAATCTAAATTATATCTTAGTTCTGTACAACTTTAAGGTAATGGCAACACAGCCATTAGTAGATACATCTATAAACAGCTAGATGAAAGCTCTGAAAACCACTCTAAAAAGTGGCTCTGAAGAAATAGTATTAGTTGATGCCCATCTGTACTTAAAATTTTATAACACGGGACCAGCAGTTAGTATAATAGCTATGTTACTGGACTCCCATGTAGTCGATCACAGTTCAAGTCCTGGACTCAGTGGCTTAAACTCATGCTGGCCGTGTGTGTGCGTGCCCAAGATCCTGAGAGGAGAATGGAGAAGAAGGGATTGTGGCGTGGCCATCCCCCTTGGGGGGGGCGGTGATTTCTCGCTTTCTGTCTCTCTGTCTCTGTCTGTCTGGCGCGGGCACACGCCCTTCTGGCGAGCACACGCGCCCTATAGCGAAAACTAAAAACAAAAACCCTCCGAAAAAAAAAAAAAAAAAAAACATTTTATAACACTTAGATTAGGAAATCAAAGAATTTTACCATAGGAAACTAGAAAGGGCAAATATGTTCAAAGAAAATTTCTGTATACCAAACTGTTACATATTTTAGTTGACAGAATTTTCAC